TTTTTTTTTTTTTTTTTTTTTTTTTGCAACCTCGAGTAACTGAAAAGAAACTGCCTACAAAATTATTATTACGTCGACTTAACGTTGAATGGAGTGCACTAGCTGGGGAATGTATATTTTGGTAGTAATAGTAAGTAAGTAGTATTATCGATAGGTTTTAATTTCTAATTTTCAAATCTGGAGCTGCTTACACCAATGAACAAAATGCTTTTCTTTTTTTAACTTTGCACAGTAAAAATCTGATAGTTTGTTGTTGTTTTACAGCATAATATAGAATATACTATCCTCTACTATACTATATTCTGTATTCTATACTAGTATATTCTGGTGTAGAATATACTAAAAGTATAGAATAGTATATTCTAGTATACATTCTGTATAGTATATTCTAGTGTAGAATATACTATAGTATCCTTTACTATACTATGTCCTGTATTCTATACTATATTTAGTATATTCTGGTGTAGAATATACTAAAAGTATAGAATAGTATATTCTAGTGTACATTCTGTATAGTATATTCTAGTATAGAATAGTATCCTATAGTATCCTCTACTATACTATATTCTGTATCCTATACTATAGTATATTCTACACTAGAACATACTTTTAGTTATATTGTACACTATCTGTACTATAATCTATCAAATAGAATATTTTTTTACATATATAATTGAAAAAATGTCAAAAATGGAATTGCACTCCTTTTGCTACAAAGTCCTCAATTATATTATCTACATGAATTTAACATGAATTGAAAGTGTGTGAAAACAATATAGAAAGCCCCCATTCCCATTAATATCTACAGTCACTTCAAAAAGTCTCTGTACATACAATGAAGAATTATTGATGTTTTAAGCTTATTAACTCTGCAGATAAAAATCATACAACAAATATAAAGATTTTAATGTTAACATTGCTGGTGAATTTAGTTATAAGAAAGAATTTTTCAATTTCCATGAAAACGTTTGACTTTCCAAGAAAAAAGTATTTTAAGACTTAGTACTTTAAGAAAAAAGTATTCTTACTCTTTTGATCTCTTTCAAAATGACACAAAAACATCTTTTTGACAAAAAAAGAATGCAGGATTTTGAAATTGCGAGCTTCATACTTTGAAATGAATATATAATTGATAGGTCTAAAAATTTTCTTTTTAAGAACTTAAAACTTGTAGAACTTTAAGAATTTTTCTGTTTGGCTTCTCATATTTTCACATTCTCAGAATTCTCACACTTTATAAACTTTAAGTTCAATCAATCTTCCATTTAATCTTGACGCTTCTACCTTTCAAAATATCTTATTCGTTTCCTCCAAAGATATTTTCACATCATCCTGAAAGAGAGTAATTAAAGATAAAGTTCTCCCCTTAAATATCTTGCAAATTCAAACGTTCTTACAAATATTAAACAATTTTCTTTCAACTAGATTCACCATCATCTTGAAGATTGAAGCCTCCTCTTTAATAACAATTCCTTAAAATTTCTTTTGCAATATTATTCCACTATGGCATAGAATTATAAAATATTGGTAACGTTTCATTGGAGATTTTCTGTCTCTCTTTTTATCATTTTTTTTCTTGCTTAATGATTATTTGTTGGAATTATATTGAGCAATTCCTTCAGCGGTCAGTAAATCCTGAACGAGAAACCCAAGCAGTGATCCTTCTTTATTTCACATTATACACACCGTTGAAAAGCCTAGGAATAGCGTTGTCGCCAATCCGCCAGGGTATCTACAAAGAGGGCCGACAGAGGGCCCCATTGAGAAAGTTGTCACTGATCTCTCCGTTTCATTCGACAACCAGTAAGATTCTATTTGGAGAATCTTATTCGAGAACGGCGCTACACACTCGGCGCAAAGCCACGAGGAATTTCTTCGTTCGGCTTTCCCCCAAGATTGCACTCTTGGAAACTTAGTTGGACAAGCTGTAAGAAGACTCTCAGCTTTAAAAAGCTTCGTTTGAAAAAGGAAGAAATCTCGCTGAGAGACAACTGGGCGAAGATTTTCCCATCGTTCTTCACTTCCGACGGAAAGCTGAAACCATTGCTCCTTTCGCTAAAATCCCATTCCAGACGGCGCTAATAAATCGTTAGCTCCCTTAACGACCGATCTTTTGTTTCTTCTTCTGGGCAGTGTTCCCAAAAATTCCCTCCTCCCTTAAACTGTGCTTCACGGAGCCCACTTAAGAGAGTGCCAAACGTCTCTCTCTTCTGCTTTCTCGAGGTCTCGCTGCAGAAAATCTTTCCGTCACTTGAAACGAAAACCCAAACTTTGGAAAGTTTGCAATCTTCTTGACGTCCGCCAAGGCGCGATACTTTCACGCAATTACCCGAACAAGATCCGATGATTGTACGTTTCGAGTGAAATCATGAAATGGGGTGAAATGGCCATGCCGGTAGCGAAACTAACGAATTAACCCTTTTATCTTTTGAAATAACGACGAAATAAGCAGCACTTCTAACATGCGTTAGAAACAAAAAATACACACCGAGAAAAGAGAAATCATTTTTATCTTTGATTTAAAATTAGAAACTTGTTTGCGAGCAAGTGGACCATTTTACCCGAATATTAATTAATGGTAAAGAATGATGCCATTGATTTAGTTTATGTTACAATTCCGAATGGTGTTTAGTACAAGATTCTTGCTAAAATTTAAATATTTAAGACACTGGTTTCCCGTTTAATTTTTTAATGTAATTTCGTGGTATTTTACAATTACGTCAATTATAAACGAATGGATCACTGTCTGTGAAGTAAAGCGTGGGCGTTGTGGTCGCGACACTCTCAACGCAGTGGAAGGGATAGCGATCAGAAAAGTGGGGGTAAGAGCCGCCAGTTAGCCACTTCTGTATTAAAATATAAGTGAGTTAGCTGTGAATTAGAGCCATTAGATCTGGCGTCTAATCTTTCTTTCATGGCTGCGAACAATAAAATCAAACGTAAAAAGATTCTCTCGCACGAATAAACTGTTTTGCTATACAAGAATGAAATCTTGGTGTTTAGAGAAAACAAACAAAAACGTGCCATCATTTTCATTTACGGATTTACGTCGATTTAACCCCTTGTTTTAACCAATTTGTTTTCAACGTCGAGGGGAGATGGCGCTAGCGATCAGGAAAGT